TCGCGGCGCCGAGCTCTCGGGCGGCTGCAGTACCGCTCGCTTCCACCAGGGGGCGCCCGGAGCTGAGGCGCGACCCGTGGGAACCGGGCTGCGCGTCGCCAAAAATGAGCTTTCCCGGGTTTTTAGTAGGACTCTAGAATGTTAGTTTAGAGGGCTGTCGTCTGGGTGAAGACTTTTCTGAAGCTCCCTCGGAGCTGTGGGCCAAACTAGAGTGAGTGAGAAAACGCTCATGACCCATACCCACGGAAGGGCTCCGAAACGCTAATTCGCCAATGCCAGCGAGCGGCCTGCCTGCCCCGTGTCTGTGCCCCACGCAGAGCTGGGTTTATCAACAGCTCATTTTCTCATTCCCCGGCGGGAGGGCTCCTCTGTAATTAGAGGCCCGCTCTCTGGTGGCTTCCCCCGCCCCCTGAAGCCAAAACAGGCTATGGGACTGGTTTTCTGCCGTTTGTCTCCCGTCCTATATTTACTTATGGTTTTTATAGTGTTAAATAATTTTCTCCCACTGGGCTCGAACCCGTCTTGTTTCCAAGTCTTTAACCCCTCTCTAACAGTTTTGTGCACGGTGTTGTCGCATGGTAAAAGAAAGGTTTTCTGCAAGCACCCGAAGTCGCCGACACAGGTGATGGGCATTCGGGCAGCACCTTCGGCAGAACTACATTACCCACAGTTCCAGCGTTCTCGCGTTCGTACCCCCCACCCCCCCGAAATCCCAAGCGCAAGGGGGTGTTTTCCTGAGAAGTAATGCGCTCTTAACACAACCTTTCCCCCTCAACTGCCCTGTATTTAATAAATTGTTTTGGCTCCAGAATTAAAATGAATTTTAAACCCATGTGAGAGACAGATGTTAAGGTTTTTTTTTTTATTCTACTCGTGTTGTTCATTTGCACTCCCCTCTTCTTTCCTTTCGTTGCTCCTGGGCGAAAGCAATTTTTAGTTCAAGGGGAACAGTATACTACAATTCTGGGCAAAAGCGGGTATAAAAATACTCAATACAAAAATGGTAACGCCATCCTGTTGACGTGGAGGCCCATGTACGGGTTCGGTTGTCCGTGTGGAGCCCCGATTTCGTTTCTCGGCACGTTGAGAAAGAACCGCCTTCCCCCCCCTCGTTCTCCACGGTGGTACCTCCCGCGGTATTTATTCCCAGCGCGAGGCCTCTGGTTGCTCCGTGCTGCTCTCGGTTGCTAAGGAGATCCTTCGGGCAGGTAATGCGGACATTATCTCCGGCGAGCGCTCAGTCGCGATGGGCTGCCACAGGCTGAGGGGGTTTCTCTGCGATAGATACCACGGGTCGTGACGAAAACCCGTTCCTGAAAACGCTGAATAATATTGCTCGTTTCTCAATTCCCGATGTGTGTGTTTCCCTTCGGCACGCGTACCTGGTAGAGTTGCTGGAGATCAATTACAGATGCATCATAAATCCTGTTTTTCATTCCAGGGGTGTTTTTTCT